GCATGTATGTGACACACCTAAAATAGCCCGCCCATGCCACTTGCCTGAATGAAAAAGTCACTTCTGTTGCCAAGCAAAGCCGGGTCTCAGTCTGACTTCAATGTTCCAAAGGAGGAAAACTACATTTTTTAAAAGTTGATCCTTCCAAGTAGCATCCTGAGCTGAATATACAGTACATCTTTTCCCATGAGCCATAAAGAAAATGTCCTATATTTTGACTGTGAACAAGCTTTTCTAGGAATGCAAATTTTGCTCTCAATAGTTACACAATGGACTACAGTGTCACAAGCACCGTTCGTGCTCCATTAGTCATTCTTTTTTTTTTTAAACTGAAATCACAAAAGGCCTACAGTGTGCATAGAGCACTTGCTAAACAATAGGCTGATTGTTTAAAATATTTGCAAGATTCCAAGAATAAGGACCAACGCCCAAAGACAAACCAATATGCATAATGTAATTAATAACAGCAAGGAGTCCACAGTATCATGCTCTCATGAGTCAGCAACCCAGAGGGTAAAAACCAGGAAGGACAAGAGCTATGAGACTCCTGAATCAATATTCTCTGATCAGCACAAGAAAAATAACTACAAAATTATCTGTATTCATGAGAGGAACAAAAGGGAAGTTCAGTTTCTAACAAGCTCCCAGCTGGTATGGGATGATCCTCAGCTACAAGAGAAAAGAATAAAAAAAAAAATTCAAGTAGTTGTTAGACTTCCGCAGGGTACTGACATTTTGACTCTGTTCTACCAATTTAATTTCAGCCCATATCCAGGGAGTGAAAAGTTAGTTCCTACCTTTTGAAAACAGGCTGATAATGCAGTATTTTGGTCTGATTCCAGCTCCTAATGGAAATGTTTGGATTGCAAAATCCAGCCCAGCACAAGCACTTTTGCTTGCAGCATTAGGAGTTGGGGCAGGGAGTGGCAGGCAAGGCAGGCGTGCCACGTTCCCCAGGTAACACACAATGGAGAGGCAGCCCTGGTGCACACATCTGGCTCTGTGCTCCAAAGCTTAGGGGTTTCCAACCACCAGCACAAGCCCTTTGCACTGAAGATAAATCAAGACTACAAGACGAAGAGAGGTTCAAAACACAACCCTGTTTACTGCCAACATAAACAATGTTGTCTACGAGAACAGCGCTCTCACCTGCTCGTCTGTGCCTTCCTACACACTGGGTTATTGCTGTGCTTTTTGGCATCTCTGGTATTGTTCAGAAGAAGCTAGAACCTTTGTTTTCAAGTATCAGATGCTACAGAGGGCAGGACTAAACTAGAAATTAAGATCTTGCCTGTGCTGAGAAAACTATTTCAAGGTCAAAAAAATATGGCTGAGGTGGAGACATTGCAGCACCTCAGGCTTCATATGGCTGAAGCAGTGCTGCACAGGGACAGACGGAATGCCATCAGGGAGACTGCTGATTGACAAGATGTCTGGCAAGAGATCTCCTGGGCTGTGATGGACCAGCACATGGCCTGACCTGCAGCTTTCTCCCTCAGACAGCCCAGGCAGCTGCCTCAGCCAAGGGAATCTCCATGCTGCATGACTGCTCTGGCAAAACGGGAAGTCACAAACCCAACTTCAGGTGTCTCCTGGTGCTACAAGAAGACCCACTGTCTCCCAGCCCTGCCTGTGGAAAATGCTGATTCCAGGGCTCAGGATGTCCTGTAGCACAGAACTAAGACACCTGGGTGGTGCTGCTATCTCCTACATCAGAGCAAACTTGGATTTCCCACTGCACCCCACCAGAGAAAGAGTGTTGGCAACACCTAATGTCTCCACAAGTACTTTGAATAAAGACAAAAGCCATCATGGAAATCCTACATACAATTCAAAATCACTCTTGAAGTAATCAATATTTATACCTACCTTATAAACATTGACACCCTTCCTTTAAAAACTTATCAAGCCAGAGAAAGACATACAAGTAAAAAATGTATCAGGATTTTGATGCAAATTCAGGCATTCCTATGTCAAGTTACAAAAATTAGTCCAGAACTGGAGAGTAAGGAGAAACAAATAAAAAAAAAAAAAAAAAGGAAACACAGAAGAACAAATCTGTCATTTTCTTGTTAATTTATATTTTTTAGGAAAATCTATTAACTTGATAAAGGCAAGAAAGAGAAACAAGAATTATATTAATGAGTACTTACCTTAGGACAGAAACAAGAACTCAATAAAAAAACAGATGTAACTTCTCTTTTACAATTTGTATTCTGGCAGTGCCTCAATTTCTAGCTACACACTAAGAATCAGTTGTGTTTAGATTAAGCAAACATAAGCGTACTTCTCACAGTTCATGTGCTCTTTAGCTTACTTCCTATGTCCCTATTTAAGAAACACCTTAGTTAGAATGTAACACATATTGTTAAACTTACTGATTTTCTTTAAAACACATACCACACAACCCCCTCAACCCAATAAACCTAACACCCACAGGAATTAAAAATACCAGTGATTTACTAATCAATGACATTACTTGTTCCATCCTGGGAAAAATCAAAAGAAGGAGGAAAGGATGTATAAATATAGCCAATGTGGAGAGTGTTGTATCACCTAGCAAAACTGTAACACCCTGCTAGGCTTTCACAGACACTACGCAGCCATGTGCTCTGTCACACTCAACTCAGAAAACAAGACTGGGAACACCTTTATTCTGTTGACAGTTCAGCCCCTGCATGAAATTAGTCCCTAGCAAAATCTCAAGGCTCAAGTTAGAAAAGTATTCAATCATTTAGGGGCTTCATTTCCAGAAATTCCACCTAGACCAACCCAAGATGTTTCCAGAAACACAGAGCACCTGTGTGAGAAGTGAAGACTGGAAAGGGATCTCAGCAGGATCTCCAAGGTGGGTGCTGAGGGGATGGCTCATACCAGACTCATTCTGGCAGCACCGAATGACAGGATGAGGAGCAATGGCCATAAACTAAAACACAAGTTCCATCTCAACATGAGGAAGAAGTTCCAGGGTACATGTTGAAAAGAAAGGTCTTTCACATTCTTCTGCCTTGCAGTGAAATGAGGAATACAAGCTATGTAAGCTCATCTGAGGATTTTCTGTACATCAGTTCTCATTCATCTGAAATGAGGGCTAAACTAAGATCACCCACAGCCACCTCCTCCTGTCACTTCTGCTTCTTCAAGCAGAAAACAGTGTATGTGAAAAACCAAGTAACTCAAAAACTAGTAGGATCAATGAGGCTACAATGGTTTGCCTCTGTCTGGTGGATAACACAGGTGTGTTTGCTTCTACTTAGACAAGGGAAACCCAGGCAGTGGAATTTAGACAACTATTCAGCCTTCCCAGAGTGGATCCTTTTCTTTGCGCTACTAAATTACTTATGGAGTGCATTGATTCTTCTGAGGGTAGAGGTTTTAGATACCTACTTCCCATGGAGATATAGCAATCTGAACCAGATCCTACCCTGGTTTCCCAAAGATCAGTGTCTTGTGGCAGAGTAGTTTCTAATTTCTGTGTATTTAACTGAACACAGCTTTTTGCAGACACCAGAGAAAGCAAAGGGGAAGACAGAAATGTAAAAATAACAGAATATAATGTATTTCTCCAACTTGAGAGATGCCTTGTCCAAAACAATCTGCACATATTCACGATATCCTTCTCATCTAAGTATTCGCTCATGTTGAAAATCAGACTTTTTCTGTAAAGAAAGAACTGCTGTGCCCTCCCTTTCTATATCCATTTTTGCTTAAATGCAAAACTTCTCACAAGTAACTATTTTCACTCCTCTGTAAGACGTGGCTAAAACTGTCCAAATGTCAGAAAAATTATCAGTGGACAAACTAGACAAATATATACACATACATGGAGAAATGGGGCTCAGGAAACCAGACTTCAAATCTCTGCTCTCTTCTCAGTTACAAATATATTTAGTTAACATGTAAAAAAGAGGTATGCTGTGAGTTAAGAAATAGCTCCTTCCTTTTTTTGGAGTTGAGAACAACCCAAATTCAATGCTCTCTTTGCCCTTACCACAATGATGGGGAGGGAGTTCTGTGTAGGTGGTCACATCTGAATTACTCACTGTGGGCTCTACTTAGAGTCACTATGGAGAAACTGAGATGACTCATTGTCTACAAAATTGATTCTTTCTCATTGTCTACCAAAAAAAAAAAAAAAACCAAAAAAAAAAAAACCAACACAAAACAAACACAAAAAAAAAAACCACCAACCCAGAGACTACCAGAACTCTGTACTGATCCAATTAGATGAGAAAAATCTCATGCAGGATGCCTGTATTTCCCTGTATGAAACGTGGAAACAGAAAGTGGAATCAGAATGTGTAACCTAGAATCAGAGTATGTTTTAACAAAAAAGGTGAACTCTGTCTTTCTGTGGTGGACTCAGCAGTGATCAGCAGAAGCTGTACCCAAACAGGTGGGAATACTGAAGGCCCAAGACTGCTCTGCTGTACATACCCTGAACACATCCACAATAGTCCCCCCAGATCCTCCTTCTCACACCCCAGTGTTTAATGACTACTCTGTTGGCATACTCACCTTTGAGTAAAAAGACTTGGGAAGCACTCCTTCATAAGGTGTGGGGGTTCATTTGCAGTGTAGGAGTGAGATATCAATTCTAAGACTGGAAGACACAGTCTGAATTTTCAAGAACAGTCACTCCAAAAGTCAACTTGGGTAAAATATGAGCAGAAGATCCCACATTTTTCATTTCTTGTTGGAAAGGTTCTACTTACAAGTGAGATGCTGATCAATTTTGATTTGTTAAAGGCATCCATCTTCTGGTTAAACCAACTGATTTTAACAGTCATCCTTCAGCAGTTCATCTCTGGTACTATGGGTCCCAGTGACCTGCCCTTACCTTCAGCATCTGCTCTCCACAGCAGGCAGAGAGGTGCTGCAGTCTCACAAAAGCAACAAACTGATTCCCAGCCTCCAGCCCTTTCGTGAGCAGATTTAAGGCAATCCTACTACCAATGTGTGCAATCTTTTTGAGTAGACCACTGAGCAGTGATATCAACTGAAGTCAACAATAGGATTTATTAAAACAGCAATAAAAACAGCAGAAATACTTTATTTTCACTAAAGGCAAAAGGTATGAATGAGGCTGTGGTTCAGCTCAGTACTTCATATACCAGTTCATTTTGTACCAGGGTAAAAATGCAACAAACACTTCAATCACAGAACATCAAGCAATGATCACAGGTATATTCACTCCAGCAGTTATATTTTGTACAGAAAAAATAGTTGGGTTAACCTCTAGCCCTGTCATCCAGTACTGCCATTGTTCTTCATAGGCCATAAGCTCTGTAGTGCATTTTCAAGGCCTTGAACATGTCACTTTTGCTTTGCCTTTTCTTAGCCTGCTTGTAGCTTTGGATTAACTGGTCTAGGTGTGACTACAATTTCTGTAACTGGTCGGGTACGTATATCCCTTCTATTTTATTTTTGCTTGTGTGTGGTACAACCAGAGTTTTGCACAGGCAGCAGTAAAAAGCAGCTATTCTATATAGAATATTTACCACTAACGCAGAAACTTTGTAGAGAGAAATGTAACAGCCTGGTACCACAGCAGAGGACTGGGGGAGTGGAGACACAGGATGTGGCATGGAAGAGTAGAGGCACAGGATGAGAAAAACAGGGCAACAGGCTTGGCATCTGAGACCATGGCCATAAACTAATCACCAATGGTCAACCAAAGAAATGCAGACCTGGAGCTGGACAAAACTGGCTTCAGAGATAACAAAGAGAACAAAGAAATGGTATCTAATACCCATAAAAGCAACTATATATAGCAAAATTCAGATGCAATGTGGAACTGCAGACCAATGAAGAAAAGAGACAGGTGTAAAGTTGTTTTACCAAACATACTAAAATGACCTCAGGTCATTTAAAGAGGGAGAAATAGGGAGGGAGGGAGAGGGAGGGAGGGAGGGAGAGCAACATAATGAACATCATACCTCTCTCAGGAAAGGATTCCAGATGCTGACAATTTGCTACCAAGATAAAATCAGCAATCTTGGAACCCACTGGATTAGAAGAGGGGTGAATGTAACACCAGGAAGAGGGATAGAAACCAAGAACTAAAGGTACAACAATTTTTACTGCATTATTATTCATTATTTTTGTGTAATAATTGCATCTGGATTAATCATGATTAGACTTCCAAAAATTCAGTTATGCTAAGAAGAAATTCTTTGCTACATAAAAACATGCTGCCTTTTTGGCTGTGAACAAGGTTTTGAGCGGAACATTTTGTCTGGACATGCAGTCTTCATATCACAGTAAATAAATCCAGATAAAAATATTGTTTTATTCTAAACAGGTGTTGCCAGTCTTCTCAGAAGAAAGAAAAAAAAACCCATAAACTCCTGGTTTTCCAAATAGTTCAGCAGAAATATGATCATGCATCCATACCTGACCCAGACAAAATTTGAATCATTGGGTGACCCAGCACTAATGATTCTGGAGCCATGGCCAGAAGACTACAGGAGCCAGATCTGTAAAGTGGGAGCATTTGTAAGGAGCTAACAAAATTACTAGAAAATCACGTTGAAGGGGTTATAGACTCATAAACTGCTAACACTTTCTCTTCATCAAACATATCAGGGTTTAGAAAGAAATGGTAAAGAATTAACATAGTGGAGAAGCAAGAAAGAAACAAAAAAAAGAGTTACCTTGAAGTCACTGGAAAATTGCTGAGTGAGAACATTCTCTGGCAAAAGTAACTACAGATGGTAGAAAAGGGAAAAGCAAATACTTGAAAAGTTTCACTGATTTTTTGTGGTTGTCTTTCACTGATTTTTTTCTTCAATTAACTCCCAGTATTGGGGCAATAAAAAAAGCAAGATGTTATTTCAGTTAAAAATGAAGATGGGGTAATTACTGTAACAGTGTCTCTCCTGTATTCTCACTTCCCTGGGTTATCCCAGACATCTCTACAAACCAAGCACTTCATTCCCTTCCTGTCACACTCTTCCCTCATGGTGGAATGGGCTTCCCATGGACAAATAAATGTGCTTTTTCATGTGCTGTATTGCAACTACAATTGTACATAACACCCATATATCAAGGTGACCTCTGGACTGTTTTCCTTTATTTCTTATGGAGGCCCGCTGTTTGTTTTCCTTGACTAAGCTTTCTGGTAACACAGAATATCCTGAACTAGAATGGACCCACAAGGATCAAGTCCAGCTCCTGAGTCAACAAAAGCCCTTTGATGTGTGGATCGGGTCTCTTTTTACACTGCTTATACTCTCAGAACTGAAGAACCAGTAACAGTAAAGCAGGTAATCAGGAAAAGATTAATGAAAAAGAAGATGTGGACAATCTGCTGAGCCATTAAAGAGGTATTATGACCTTTCCAAATGCAGTTCTTGCCTGTACACATGAGGTGTAAAAGAATCAGCAAAGGAAGGGAGATGGTAAAACATCAGAAATAGGTAACAAAGTATGTTTAAGACTGATGTTAACCTATCAGGAGCACAATCATGCAACAGATAAGAATTGTGTAATTTGACACTGTCAGGTCATCGACAATCTTAAAATTCAGGGTCTGTGATTGGAGCCATGCTGTAAATAGCCTGTAGTTAAGGAACTACGTGTACAACTCAGAGCTGTCTAGCTAACGGACTGCTAGTCAACATAGCATTACCATCTCTCTTCAGAGAAGGCAGTGCTTGATGGGACCCAAGAGAGTCGTGTTCTGAGCCTAGCTTCACTCCTCGCCAGTTGTCCGATCTTGCCTCATGCCTCTCCTGCAGTTTCTCATCTCACCCTTAGACTTTCTCACGCTGTGCCCAATCTCCTAGCAAGGAGCCTCAGTACTCAACTGCACTTCCAAGATCTTAGTAAAATTACCCACCAGACATTATCAAAAATAGACTAGTCCTGGCTTAGGCACAATTAAATAGCTGGTCTCCATTTCCTCAACACAGAAAGCATGACCATCTGAAAAGCAGCTAGAACTACAATGCTGTAAATTCCTGCAAGGCTTTTAAACACCAGTTTAACCTTAATTACAACACAATGAACAGGTGAGTGTCAATCATATTTTATATTCTCAAATGTAAAATATACTTAAACCCAAATATTTTTGTCATCAATAAAAAGCATTTTATTCAGTGGTCAGAACTACGACCAAGAGACGTGCAGGTGCCTGACACAGAAAAACTTTTAAGCTGAAGTTCTCACACTCTGAGACCAGTAGAAATAGTTTCTGCTGAATGCAGAAGCAGAAATGTGCATGGCAAAGATGGCTAGTAAAAATAATGTGAATTCTTTAGAGGTAATGGTTTCTCTTCATTGCTATAAATTAAAAGCTCTAAAGTCTTTTTAACTAAATGTTATTTTAATTATTTGCTGTCCCAAACCCTGAGACTATTAAAAAGATTCTCCTCATTTTGCAAATCTATATGCAGGCAGAACTGCTATTCATCTTCACAATACACAGTACACCAGAAAAAAACACCCCTGCCTCAGAATGGACTTCAGTTGCAAGTAAGTGTTTGAAATTATCACTCATTTATTAAAATCAATGATAATTAGCCCATCTGGAGTCACTAACTGGTTGTAGGCTTAGTGTCAAGTTCCTGAGATGCAAACCCAGTTTATTATCAACACTCAGCCAGCAATGTACTTATCTTTAATGGTAACAACTCTTGAGCAGTCTTGCTTTGCACTCACAAGAAATCAAATGCAAGAAATGCTCTCAAAGCCCATGAGGAAAATGACAGCTACTCGCATTTCACCGAACACCAGAACTGGCAAAAATCTTCCCTTTCAAACTCTAACTTCAATGAGTCATCACAAAACAACTCAATCAGCAAAGCTTATACATCTGGTAGCAATGTGGTGCTACAGCTAAAGCCCTCCTCAGCCAACAGCTCACAGACCCAACTCCTTCCAGCATCACTCTCACCCATGAGGAAAGAATTCCTTCAACACAGCCTTAAATCAGACCAGGTATTGACAGAGTCCTATTTGAGACAAGGGGGGAGTTCATACCTCATGGAGTTACAGGTTCAACAGACCTTCCTGCACTGATTTACACCGAGTTTATGTTTTCAGACTTATCCCTGCAAACATAAAGACAAGGAGCATGATTGCTCTCATATGCTTCAGTAAAAGTGCAGTGCATAGGATCCACTGTGTCTGCAAACCTCTGTGGATGATAAACACCAGAACAAAGGTGATAACAAGCAACCAAGAAAGCCATAACATCAAGCATTGCTACAGTCATGCTGGTGGGAAACATTACCCACTGCCTTATCTTTCTCTAATTTTATACTGATGTTGAAATTTCACTGACATCTCCTATAGCAGCTTTTTTACAGTACAATCACCTCCACACTTTTGTACAGGCTATACAAATTTATCTTCAGCAGACCTAACAGAAAGCCTCTTAGATATCTTACTGGACCATTGCTTACACTGAATAGTGATGTACTTTTTCTGAGGAATACAGAGAGATGTATGCTCACTCAGAAATTACAGAACAACCACATAGACTGCACAAACAAAATGCCTAATCACTTCTCATGGAAAGTAAATATATGAAATTTGCCACCATCTTTTTCTGTAAATTCATGTGTTCTGCTGAAGTCATACACAACTCTGTGTGGCTTCCCTTTCACAAAAGGAAAAGATCATGGTAGAATTTTGTTGGCTGTTCCTTTGAATTCCAGAAGTCAGAGGGTCCATATGCAAACTCAAATATGCAAAAACAACAATACAACAAACCCACCCAAAATTCATTTTAAGAATGATCTTGGAAAAAGTCTGAATAACCAGCACAGCTGAACTGTGTTTATCATTCACTCACCTAGGATCCTCAGGCCATTCTAGAGATACAAAAGCAGTTCATTACATTGAGAAAAGCTCACTCTTCTGGACATAACCATACTGCAGCTCATCAAACATTTTAATCAGTGTTTTACCTCACTCCTTATTCTGCCTCACGGGTTGTTCCTGGACAGACACTGCAGACACACAAGAACTTCTTGCAAGCTGCTAGTCAAATGCCACCACAGCTCTTTATGAGTAACTGGCTCATGGTCATGTGTCTTCCATGAGAACAGGATGGAAGGGGAATGTCCATCCTAAGTGCTGACCTTTGGAAACCACAGAGAGCTGCAGAACCCGGTGCTGTGCCACACAAAGCCAGCACTGGGTGAGACAGCTGAGACTTGAAAAGCAGAACAGCTGTTTCAGCACAACTATGAGGGCAGCTGAGTTAATTAGCTGTGACCTGCTCATCTGAAACTAACTCGGTATTTTCACAGAGAGCTGGCAATTTTTCACCCTGGACAAACAACTACACTGTAAGTCTCATTAGGAGTTTTTCAAATATTTTTCTAGTTGGGACAGAAAGTAGGCAACATTTGTTTAATTATTCCTACATCTTCCCCAAGGACCACAAGTATCACGCATTACTAGGGTCTACTAAAATATCAAAGCAACTTTCAGTCTCAAATGTCCTTACTGCCATATCTCACCTGCTTTATTAAAAGACAAACCTATAATGCTATTCAAGACACTTATTCAAATGTAAGCAGCCTTATGTGTAAGTAAACTCTATCAAGCATGTCTCCTTGAGGAGCTAGATCTTAAGTACCTCTAGAAATAATAATACTTCCAATCAGGAGCTAAGACAATCTAAAGAATGCACTGCTGTATGTATTTCATATCAGCACCTTTCCAAGTCTTCTAAATTTTGCATAAAACAATTCAGTAGTTACAACTCAGTAAGGCTTCACATAGCTAGGTAATGGTGATGAGTGACCTTTGAGTCATTTTTTCATTTTTGTTCCTTTTAAATAAAATGAGTTATCAAAACTGATGACAGCATCCTCATGATTCATTGTGTCCCTCACATCATTCCCAAAGCTAACTTCTTCTTTTTAAACAAAATCATTTGGTGAAAATGTGTCACAGGTTACAATTTGAAGCTGGTCTTGCTGTTAGATCACAATCACAGAGATTAAAATTAGTATATTTCAGTGCATACAAATAGTCCATTTAGCTTCAGAGAATTATTCTGATGTATAAAATCAAACTGCAATACAGCTTTAATGAAAAAAAAAACCCTGATGATAATCAATCTACTGTCCAATTCATAGAAAATTATTTATTTGTGCATATGCATCACTGGATTGGCAAGGGATGCTTATAATAAACATTCTGAAGGTCACCAGGCATCTCTCATTACAAGACTCTGGCTTTACATTCTTGTAATTCTGCGCTAAACTTGAACCATCTCAACTAAAATATTTCACAGCCAACACCAACTCAAGATGGGGGTATTTTTATTAACAATTACAGATTTAAAACATTAATCTATTTCAAGTATCTATATTTTGTTTGGAGTACATTAAATCTTCCCAACTGGCTAGCTTTCTTCTATGGTCTCTAGATGTTCAAGCAGAGACTTGAGATGCTGAAAGCTTTTGAATAAGCTTTTTTTTTACATCCCAAGGAATCTGTTAAGAGTCTGGGCCTTTCCAGGGCTTGGAGGACACAGCCTTGTGCATGCTCAACAGCAACAGATTTATCATCTCAATTTCCCCACGGTTCCATTTGTGCAGGGCACGCTGCCGAGAGGCTCAACAGGAGCTTCCTTGTAGCCACTGGCTCTTCTGAGTTAAGCTCTCTTTAGTGTCCATAGGCCTCTTACAGTGAATGACCTCCAGATGGGTCCAAGTTGCCTGAGCTGATGTAGAGATAAAAAGAAGAACATACTGGGTCAGTTAGGTAAGGGGGAAAGAAGCCTGCAGGTTCTGGCACGGCACTAGTAGAACTGCACAAGGAAACCAGTACAGAGAGCAAGTAGAATTTGATGAAGGGTGAAATGAGGGCCAGGAGTCACAAAGGACTCAAGAATGAAGAAATCTGAGTGCAAACTGGATGATGCCTGTCTGAGGAGCAGCTGGGTAATAGCCAAGGATGGGAGTTTTGAGATGCTGGCAACAAAGTGGCCATCAGCACCTTGGGCTCTAAGAAGAGAGGCAGAGCCAGGAGATCCAGGGAAGGATTCCTCTCTACTCAGCTTTCAGCCGAGCATTTCTGAAATATTTCATCCAGGTACTAGCCCCACAGTGCAGGGAAGCCACTAGGGAACTAGGGCGAGTACAGGGAAGCACCACTGGGATAGTGGGGCTGGAGCATCCTGCCTGTGTGGAGAGACAGCTTTAGGGGGAACAAAAAGGCAGCCCCAGTGCCTGTGGAAAATACACAGGAGATGCTGATGGGCTGTCCCGAGAGTCTGTGTGCACTCCATCTTTGTAGGTTTTCAAGACCAAACTGGGTAAAAACCAGAAGCAGCCTGATCTGATCTTAAAGCTGTCTCTGGTATGAGCCACAGCTCGACCTGGGGATGCTGAGATTTCTTCAGCCTGAGTTATCCAGTGATCCTACAAATTGGGCAAGAGCAAGAGCAGCCAGAACAGGACTGAACAACCTTCAGCAGGCATCAGGATATCTTGCTCCCGGGGTCTACCACAACACCAGATCTTCCCACATCACCAGCCCTGTCAGTCTTTCAGTGCCTGCCCTTGCTACCCTACTGCAACCTTCTCCATCAAACACAAGGCCCAAGCAAGATGTGCTTTCAGTCTCTAAATTCAAATTTCACTGGTAGCTCACGGACGGTGGGAAGAACGCAAAAGTCTCCTTTTGGATTCTGTGATTTAAGAACCTTGAACATTACCCACATGGCATTACAAGCCATTCAGACCGCAAAGTCAGGCTCTCAGAAAAAACCATGATGGCAAAAACCAGAGGCTCAACATGCCACAGGAAATTTGCTCCCGAAGAGGGCAAGGCCTGGCGCGGGCACGGCAGCGTGCAGAAAGGCAGCTCCCAAGCGGGTGCCGCGCCGCCCTTCCAGCACCGCTCACCTGTGCTGCCCTTCTCCCAAAGCCAGGTACCAAGGGCAGGGGCACCGCTCTGCCTGTGCAGGGATTTGCCGAGAGCCTGGTGGAGGCAGCATCTCCTGCTCTGCTTCAAGCCCTGAAAGAGAGCGGCTGTGCCGCAGCCAAGCAGAGCCCACGCCTGCCTTCCTGCTCCGTCACCCCACGGCCACCCCCAGCGCAGGTACACCCCAGCAGGAGACACCCGATCCCGGGGAAACGCAGGAGCCTGCTGCCCACGGAGGGACCAAGCAGCACCAGCTCCATCCCTTCGGTTCCTTTTCCCTGGCGGCCCCTCCCCGCTCGCTCCCTCTGCCCCCACGCCCCGCGGTGGTCCCCGGCCGCCGAGCCCCAGGGCGGGGGCGATGGCTCTGCGGCGGGCGGTACCTGGACAGGGAATCGCCGCTGGGCGGCCGCGCCGCCGCCCGCCCGGCGCCCAGGCTCTCGCAGCTGGAGCTCCCCTCCATGCCGGGCGGCCCCGCGGCGGGCGCTGTCCCGCGTCCCTCAGCGCCGCGGCCGGCGCCCGGCGGGGCGGGAAGCGGCCATGCTGGCCCGGCGTGCCGCGCGGGGGGCGGGCCGGGGCGGGGCCGAGGGGCCGCGCCGCTGCCGCGGGCTGCGGGAGCCGGGCTGCGGGAGCCGGGCCGCTGCCGCCCGCCGGGCCGGCCTGCGGGTGGGCGCGGGACTGGCCTCGAGGAGTGCGCCGCGATCCCCCTTTGCTGTCCTCCTGAGAACCGAGGGAAGGTGGCTGCTCCCGGGTTCCATCCCCGGAGCACGGTGGTCGTTCCTGAGAGCAAAGAAGTGGCCTCTCTCAAGCATCCCTCCTGAAGTCGGCTCAGCTGCGTTAGGCTTTCCAGCTGGGTTGTGCACCCACAGTTAGAACAGTTGTGCTCCTCACATTTGTCATTGCCCCTGTCTGCTCGAGAATCCTCACTGAGTCTGTCCCTCGGGTGGGTGGAGGGGGCTGTGGAAGGTGGCGGGTCACAGTCACACGGGTCGCGGCTGCCGGGCGCTGGCACGGATCCTCTGTGGCGTTACCCGGCGGAAAGCTCGGATGCATCCGTGGCGATGTGTATCCGGAAGAATTTGCAGGCACGGTTCGGTATCAAGTGTTCTGCAGGAAGAGCCATGCTGCGCCCAGTTCCTTGAAGCAATCGAAGAGCGGGAGAAAAGCTCTTGGCGTTGCTTACAAAGACTGAGGGACTGCATGTTAAGCCTCCCATATCAAGGGTGCAGATGTCTTTCAAATGTTTAGCTGTTTTGGCAAGAATCTCATGAGGCAAAAAGAATGAACCGCTGGGGATGCGTTAGGAGGCTGGTGGGTTTCCAGAATGGCCTGCTTGTTGGTAAAGAGCATCATATGTCAGGAGAATCCATCCAGATGGACCTTCCTGTTTAAATACTACCTCAAAATAGGATAAACTCTGTGTCTTCTAAACATTTGTATACTGTGTGGCTGTAGAATGGTTACTGAAACATCATCTCTCTTCATGTGTTGATGGATGTGTTTCCCTCTGTTATTTCCCATTTTGTTCCTGTAGTCAGAAGTCATGCAGGATGCTGAAGCTGGTTCATAGCATCCCCACCTGAGACTGCATGATCCAGCTGTAAAACTGGCTCTGTTGCTCTTTCTTTTAGTCTCTATCAACTGCTGTTGAGAAAGGTTGATGTGGAATGGTTTTGAAGCTGGTTTAAACTTGAAAATGCAGTTTAGTTGAGGCAGAGTTTATTTTTGTATTTTTCATTTGATCTTCTGAGCAAAGAGTTACCAAATTGGAAAATTTGGGGGAAGGAAAGTTTCAGCCTAGAAAATTGTGCTTGTGGAGGCTTTTCTAAAATGAAAACTCTGTTTCATGGATAAAAGTGAGATCCTCGTTCGAAAAATAATCTAATTGCTAGTGGTTTATTGCAGCGTTAAAATCCAAACAAAATGCTTCAACGTCATTACAATTGAAAAAATCCATTGACCTGTGCTACAAAATTATTTTAAATGTTCACCTTTTTTCCTTCTCTCTGGTTAGGGGCAATGAACGTTTTAGAAGCACCATTTATTAATAAAAACGGAGGTATGAATGGCATACTGTCTCTGCCTCTGCTGTTTAGCTTTCCATCCACACCTGCGTCGGGCGAGCAGAGGGTGTCCTCTGTGGCACATGCGGGCAGGGGGTGCTGTCGCAGCAGCACTTCAGCATCTTTGCTAAGCAGTCAGGCAGTTCCTGGTAGCCTTTTCCCACTGGTGTGCTCTCTTCCCAGCCCTTCCGGGGATGGAGTTCCTGGCGGTAGTAACCCTTGGGAGAAGTCAGCGCTGTAGAACTAGCACAAAGCAGTGCATGTCTCCCTTTCAAATCTTATCAAATAGCCTGGTGGTGAGTTGGTACTACCTCTATTCCCTCTGTTAAGCTTAGTTTGATAGAGGTGCAGTTGTTTAAAAAAAGTCAAGTAGGAATAAAAACAATATATAAACCTTCATTTCTATGTGAAAGTATTAGAATGCCTTCCTTTCTTCCTAATTTGCTATTGATGTGGCATCTCTAAGCAGTTTATTGATGAAGTGCTCTATTTGCTTTTTACTGCCCTGTTTTGTTCTTGGCCTTATCCCCAGGGCCTGTGAAACCCTTTAAAAATTCCCACTAGTGCTTTGTAAATGAGAACAAAGCTAATCACCTCCTGCATCTCTCCTGCTGCTGAAAGAAACTAGCAGTCTGCTCAGTGAGTCTTTCTACTCAACAATACCACATTTTCAAAGTCAGTCAGAATATTCTCTCTGTTAAGTGTGTTTCCTCAGGGCGCTTAAATGTGATGGAGAATTAAATAAAGGCCTGACATAACCAAAACCAATTAAGGGCAATTCACAAGACTGTTGTATAACTGATGCAAAATAAGTGTCGTTCAGTCTCTTAACCTACTTTTGCTTGCCACATCCCCTACCATTATCTTACAAGTATCATCATTTTGATTTTTTTTTTTTTTTTAATGGGGGAATGTTCTGTAATTCTGTGATTTCAATACAGGAAACAGTAAAATAAAATTAACATCATGGATAAGTAATAGAATTATCTGTGTTCATTTTTAATGCCATGCAGCTGACACAGCTGAGTGATATCTGAAAGAGAGAATGACAAGGAACTTCCTTGAATCAGAGGTGTAAAAGATTAATTCCAAGTAAAAGACAAGTAGACATCCTCCAATACTTCCTGAAATTGTATGTGGTTGTAGCATATACAAAGTGAAAAATACATAGCTCCAGGCTTTCTTAGGTGTTTAGAGGCTGTCAAAGCTGTGGTGAACACAGCACAAAGAGGATAATATTATGGACATGTATAACATGATTAAGTGAGGGGAAGTAAGACTTTTGCTTCAGTCCTTCTGGGTGAAAGTGAGGTTCTGTTTTGTATCCACATTGTATTTAAGCTATGTGTCTGTTGAATTAAGGGCTTTCTAGCTCTGTATATATGTGTGGTCCATGCATCTGCTATATCAATGTGCCAAATGTTATGAATCCAGATGTTCTCATTCCTGGATTAGCTCCTCAGCTTTGCTGCTGCACAGCCAAACACAGGTCTCTTGTGTCTCACACTTTGAGCATGAGGCTCACCAAAGCTAGGGACGGTCACACACACCAGACATCCTGGCACAAGCTTTTGCAGGGGTCTTGTGAGGATATTTGGCCATGGTCTGTGACTGCTTGACTAAATGTCCCCAGAGCAGAGGAGGAATCATGTTTCTACAGTGGACAACTGGTAGACCATGAAGCAGGATCGTGTACTCAAATGGTCCAGTCTGAGAAAGCTTGCTCCCCTGCTGCTGTTTTTGTCATAACCTTACATGGTACAGCTCATCAGACATTCTCCCTCCCTCCCCCTCTTCCCACCACACAGCTCATCCCATGGTTGAAAGGCCTATGAACAAAAAGGGAGTCAGAGTCCTAATCCCTTTTGAAAATTATTATCTTTTGCTCCAATCCCAACATTAAAATCTTATCCATCCTAAAACTAGCTCTCTTTGCTGCAGCTCTATGGATCTCCCATATTTTTGCCACTGTACTCATATCTTCCTGTGCCCTCTTAGACAGCGCATTAAATGGTTCATGGCAAAGGCAGCTTCACACACTGTGCCTTCTCTAGTCTAGTCCCCATCAATGAGTCCAAAAAATTTGCAGCATGACTCAGTCCCATAATTGTTCTGAAAACCACACAGCCAGAGACACCCTTGTCTCTCCTTTGATTCACTAAAATGGTTCTGAGATTTATTACATTTTCTTGTCTTCTTGATCTACAGCTTCAGGGCAGTGGGCAGGCGATAAAAGATTCTCAGTGCCTTGGGAAGGGCGGATTGTCACTGGTGAGATCCCACTGTGATGTATGATCATCAAATCACACTGGAGGTGGCATGTGTTCCTTTTGTCAAGCCCCATCAGCTGATAAAGTATGAGGTCAGAAACAGCAAGAGCTTTGGCACAGGCAGAGAGGTTGATGAAGAACAACTCACTGTGGCTGTGATTTGGAGCTAGAGCTGCTTGTGGTTGCAAGAACATCTGTTACAAGATGGTCATAGGGTACATGCACAGATTTGATTCTGCTGATGCATAATGCCTGTGCCGTTGAAGTTGGAAACTAGTCAAAACAAAGAGAGGGACTTAGGACTTACAGCTACACTGAAATTGTCACTGTGCCTCCAAAGTTACTGTACTTCTGGTTAACCTGATCAGAGTGGTCACCTCAGCTCACCCACAATCTGGTTCCGTACTGGCTATAATGGCACCCTGACAGTGCTTTTGCCTTGCATCCCCTCTGTGTTTGACAGAAACAGAAGCTAATGATCCATGACCCTTTAACACCTTTTTTTTATTGCTTTTTTTTTTTTTTTAATGCAGTCATGCACATACTGATGCAAGGTGCTACAGACGTCGGGCTCTGGACTCAACCTGAACCTAATCCCATACACTATAGCTTGTTACCTGTTTATGAAGCACTTTCGATGGGCACACTGTTTTGTTCTTTCTGCTACTCTGTCTGTGTTCTGCTTTCTTGTCCTCACTCCCAACACCAGCTCATGGCTGCCCACAGAACAGTCAGGCATTAAATACGTCACAGGCTAATCAGGTTCCATCCATGTGTGCTCAGCGTGCACAGTCCACTGGAGTCACCACGCAATTCACCTGGCTTTTAATTGCCTGCTGCTTTTAATTCTCAATGGCCTGTGCATTATTGCAGTGCTCAATGGCCTGTGCATTATTGCATAGCTGTAAGCAAACACAGTAGCCTGTGCTTGCTTACAGCTACGTGATGGTACTGGCACAGTCCAAGGCACGGACTGTAGTGCTGAGCAGACAGGGAGTCTGACGGCTGTGGGCACCTGGAGAGCTGTAGGCCTTGGGCTC